ATGACGTTCAGGGAACCGTGTTGAAGTTATTTTCCGTGGTAATCAATCACACAGCGTGGATGCAGCAGGTAGAGATTAGGCTGAAGACAGTGAAGTTCAACTTTAACTCCCTTTCATCCAATGTGTGGCAGTTCAAAGCCATAAAACTATCACATTGCATCCAATTACATACAGACTGCACTGTATAGTGCACTGCAGTGTACTCTTCACTGGGCATGCATCTGAAACAAAAATGGCTTTTAACTGTGTGCTTTGAAGCAGATAAGACTGTGGATGTATGCAGCCGTACGCTTCAGCAATCTAAATCAGCAAACTGATATACATCAAAGCCTAGATAAGCTTATCTTCACAGCATGCAGTCCAAAAAAGGGGGTGAGGAGTGATCTCCCAAACTCAGAGATCAGAGAGTGAAACTGAAGAACTCCACCGACACTGACTCATTTACTTAAGCAGCTCATGATATACATGATATACACATACATACATACATTATATATATACATATATATGTATATACACACATACATACACAAGTCATGAATCACGCTTTTCTATCTGACAGCCTAATGGACGAGTCTGGGTTTGGTGAATGCCAGGAGAACATTACCTGCCTGACTGCACTGTGCCGACTGTAAAGTTTGGTGGAGGAGGGACGATGCTATGGGGTTGTTTTTCAGGGGTTGGTCTAGAACCCTTAGTTCCAGTGAAGGGAAATCTTAATGCTTCAGCAGACCAAGACATTTTGGACAATTCTATGCTTCCAACTTTGTGGGAACAGTTTGGGGAAGACCCTTTTCTGTTCCAGCATGACTGAGCCCCAGTGCACAAAGCATGATCAATAAGGGCATGACTGAGTGAGTTTGGTGTGGAAGAACTTAACTGTCCCACACAGAGAACTGACCTCAACCCCATGGAACACCTTTGGGATGAACTAGAACGGAGATTGTGAGCCAGGCCCTCTCGTCCAGCATCAGTGTCTGACCACACAAAACTCTTCTGGAAGAATGGGCAAAAATTCCCACAGACACGCTACAAAAAAGCTTCCCAGAAGAGTGGAAGCTGTTAGAGCAGCAAAGAGGGACCAACTCCATATCAATGGCTACAGGTTTAGGATGGGATTCATAAAAGCTCCTGTAGGTTTAATGTGTCGATGTCACTATATATATATCTCCAGTCCAGTGGTGGCGCTTTACACCACTCCATCCGACGCTTGGCATTGTGCTTGGTGATGTAAGGCTTGCATGCAGCTGCTCGGCCATGGAAACCCATGCCATGAAGCTCCTGGCGCCCTACACGCCTCAGCACTCAGCGACCCGCTCTGTAACTTCATGTGGTCTGACACTTCGTGGCCGAGTTACTGTGGTTCCTAAACGCTTCCACTTCTCAGTAATACCACTCATAGTTGATTGTGGAATATCTAGGAGCGAATAAACTTTGCGAACTGACTTGTTGCAATGGTGACATCCTATTACAGCACCACATTCGAATTCAGTGAGCTCTCTTTCACAAATGTGTGTAAAGACAGACTGCACGGCTAAGTGCTTGGTTTTATACACCTGTGGCAATGAGACTGAATGAAACGCCTGAATTCAGTGATTAAGAGTTGTGTCCCAATACGTTTGTCCATATAGTGTCCATATAAAGTGTCCACTCTTTATTCTCCAGCTCTTTGGACAGTGTTTTAAGTCTGGAGTTTATGTAACCAGGCTAATACGTCCATCTGAGCATGATCTTACATAGAAAGTTTAGATGTAAAAACCCTCAGAATAAGCAGCGCTGATCTGACCTTCTAAACACACTCAACATACAACGTGTCAACAGTGAGGGTAAATCAAGGCAATCCTACAAAAACAGCTGTACTGCAGTAAAGGAAAGGGCCTCTGAATGAGCGAACACCAGCAGCGAAGATGAAAAACATCAGAACATGCACTCACACAAAGCTCTGTTTGAAAGCTATCGGAGGGGCTGTGCTGGATTTGATGGAGCTCTGTCTGAAAAGGACATCCTGAAGGACGCAGCCTCAGAAGGTCAAACAGCATCCTTCAGATTCATCTGAATAGAACTGAATGATGCCTGGAGCGCTCTCCATCCACATCACTGTGCTGATGTGTCTGTCTGTTCACTAACTAAAGCTACAGGACACAAGTTAAAAAAGGTTAACACATCTTCTACAGAGAATTCACTGAGCATTTTTCTGCTGATTTTAGTGCACAATTTAAACATACACTATAAAATGTGCCATAACTTTTGCACCAGCCACATTTTGTGCTTTTTTCCCCCCTCAATATGTAAAATTCAGCAAATAAGCAGTAATTGTGCTTTAAAATGTGCAGAAGTGTGTTCTCTGTATAGAATATGTTAACGCTAACTTATTTACATATAGAAAATCAACAACATGGAGTTTGACCAGGAGCGCAGATGTTTGGGTGTTTAGTACAGAGGTCGGCAACCCAGTTGATAAGAAGAGCCACTTTGTCCTTTCAACAAAATCAAACCACCTTGAGAGCCACATTTTATGTCCATTTTACCATCTTGGCTGTGAATATGTCTCAGTATGTGCTGGTATAGGCTAAAAATAAAACATAAACAAAAACGCAGACTTACTTTGTTAGCCATAGCTGCTTATCTCGAATCTCCAGCAGGGAAATTTTCTGCATAAGTAGAACAGTTTCTTGTAAAATATCTCTCAACTTTCGACTTCTTACGAGGCTGAAGTCGCTTCTCACTCACCAGCTTCTCGTTCACATTCTCCCGTTCCACCTTAAATGGTGCCTGAGGCGCCAGAATGTAACTGCTGCACCATTTAAGGTGGAACGGGAGAATTCAAACGAGAAACTGACTTCAGCCTCGCGACTTTTTAGTGTTTGACAGTTTCTCGTTGCAGATTAAACGTATCAGGAAACCAGCTGGAGTGATTATAAACGCAAGCAAGTCCATTCGTCTCCAAATGATCGATGTTCGTCTTAAATCTGTTTGCTTTTTCGTTACCTACTAGCTAGCTAAGCGAGACTTGTCTCTGTTGCTATGGTGACCAGTAGTCCGCGTGCCAGCCTTCAGGGTTAAAGGGTGAATTAGCAGTCATAGGCTACATTAACTCCAGTGTTTAAGACGATTTATTGTTAAACTGTGTTGAGCGATCAGCAGAGTTTTATTTTACTGTAAAGGGGGATTATTTTATTTTTACCTACAAGTCTAATTCTGCTGTGGAGCCGCAACAGGGCAGTAAAAGAGCCGCATGTTGCCGACCGCTAGTTTAGTGTGCCACTCTGTACCTTTATTACAGCTTCCGTTCTTTTCAGGAGACCCACTTTCAGCTTCTCAAAGAAATCTGCAGCCACACCTCCAAAGTTCAGTCTTAGAAGCTGGTTGAACATTCAGGAGAAGACTTTAAACGTTCCTTCCATTGCTGTTTTGTTTAATTTCTTAATTTTATTGCTGTATTTTGTGTCGAGTGCAAAGACAGAACACAGAGAAACTCAACGACTCGATATCAGCCTCAACAGCTTCTGTCTGTTTACTGTTTTTTCTTTGATAAAATAAAGGCACACATTACTTTTTCAGCAGTACACTGGTACCCAGCTGCTCCCTGCCATGTTTTCTAGCTACCAGAGAGAGGAGAATTACCTCTCTGTAATGTCTTCCAGGTTTCTCAAACACTAGAGGGCGCTCCTGAGCGGGTCCAAAATGAATGGGTTAATATGGGTTGATGGCTCAAATATTAACATTTGAGCAAAATCATAGTTTATAAAGGTTTCAACCTTTAATGTAAAAGAATACATTGATTCCCTGAACACCAAATAGCATAAAACATTTCAACAATATTGTTATATTTTTAAAGAGCTTTTAAACTCGAGTTTTAGGATTTTAAAATGGTGCCTTATGTACGTTCATGACGTCAGTGAGAGCAAACAGCCAATGAGCTGCCCCCCTCACCAACCAATCAGCACTCGGTAGCAGTAATGCCTGTGTTCTGCTGCCCAAAACCCGTTTGCTGTAGAGTTTTCTTTGCTTTTTTAGTGAAATGCATCATTCTACTTTGACTAAAATTAAAGGGAAGTTCTGGGTGAGTGATTAGAAACTATTTTAACTTTTTGTTTTTAGCCGTTTAGCTCCTTTTACCCCCATTTATTGAGGACTTGCTCGCGGAAGCCCTCTGCTGTTTTACAGTCCTGTTTTTGATATAACAGGGGAAACAGGAAGTGGCCAGGCTCCTCAAAAACCGGCCCTGGTAGCTACGGACGCAAAACGGAAATACCTGAAGACTTTTTCCTGTTCATTTTTCCGTCACTTATTTGGCAAACACATTTCCATCGTAATATTTTTATTGTGTCATCTTTTCAGCAGCAAAAAGGTTTATCCATTGCATCTTTCTTGCAATGTTTGGTTATTTTATTCAGATTTCTTGGTTTCTGTCAAGTCCGTTTTATTCAACATGACAAAATATATATAAACATTTGCGGATGTGAACCTAGCTAGTGATGATGAACGACAAAAACAACAAAACAGCCACAGTATTAGCTGTCTGACGTGCAAAACACGGTGCAGTCCAGGCAGAGAATGAAGTGGAGATATGAAGCCTCTGCGGGTCACACGGAGTGACCAGAACATTCCTGTTAGCGGCTCCCAATTCCACTGCAGTAAGAGAAGGGAGATAAGGACCTGGGTGACAATGACATTCTCCATCACAGCCTGGCTGGCATTTGGAAAATAAATGGCTCGGAGAATGCAAGCGTTCCTCACAGGCACTGATATTAAAGGGGCCCATACTAAGCATTCATACAATTTAATATCTATACTAGAGAGCTTGGAGTCATTTCTGCTTATCTTGCTGCCTACATCTGTTGTTATGATGACTACAGTTAATAAAGTATTAGACTTACAGGTCCAAAGTCATTTGTTAAAATACAAAAAAGGAAGAAAAGAAAGAAATAAACAGTTGATAAAGCTAGTTTTGCAATGAGACATTGTTAATAAACAAATAAATAATCACAACTGCAAAGTGAGACCGATATCAGCCAAGTTTATTTGCTTGTATTTCCATGTTTAAAATATATCTCCCAATGAAAAAAACAGAGCTCATCTATTTCATTACATTTAAGCTGAAAACTGTAAACATTTCTGGAACAGAAAGAATCTCCAATTATTTCTTCACGCTGGACATATTTACTGAAAAATACTTTCATAGAACCCTCACTATTTTTCACTGCTTTGGGACTTAATGTATTCAGAAAGAGAAAAAGAAGAGATGAATCCCAGAGAGAAAAGAGGAATCTGACTCCTTCACTATGTTATATCTTGAAGCAGAAGTATCAACAGCTTGACCAAAATTAACTACTGACCACCAAACTACGGCAGAAGTGAGTGTTTATTCTCTGGATAATATGGCAAACATAACATGCTAATCAGTGCCTATTCACTCACTGCATAATGATACAATGGAGAGAGAAATAATCAAGTATCTCTTTTATAGATATTTATTTCTCATCACAAGTTTGTTTTAAGAATATCACACAGTTTATTTCTACTTTTAATAATAATATAAAAAATTATACAACCTATTTCTCGGCATTTTACTTGTTTTAAGAAATTTCATGAGGTGAAATTCTTATTCCATTGGCATATAATTTTGCTTGCTTGCCCAAATCCTGCTTAAAATAAGCATCTGCCAATGCAATAATTTCACAGTATAAATTTCTTAAAACATATGAAAAATCTCTATAAAAGTTGAATAACTCTAATACACATAGTATTAACACAATATAATATTCACTTAATAATGAGAAATGTAAGAAATATAAAGTGAATCTGAGATGATTTCACTTGCCACAATATCATTCTGCAGTGCTTTCATAAAATGTTAGCAGTATTAGCTTTTTTATAACAGAGCTAGTCCTTTTATCTTTAAGCAGTCCCGCACATTGTCAGTGTGATTTAACATGCTGTCAGTTCACGTCAACCTTCTTCCCTTTCCTAAACGCCAAGGTGTGATGATAGATGGTGAGAACCCTGGCAGGTTGTCCCAAAAGCTAACCTCTCCAGCCACCAAAGGTTTGATTACCGGACCTGGAACACGGAAAAAATGAGAAAAACACAAAAGGGTGAATCAGCTGCATTTACAAACATCATTTTTCTGCTTTCTAATTAGGAAAGTTAGTAATTCAATGTCCATGCCATTGTTTTTTGTCATCATTGATGGACTGTTATCCCTACATGCTCCGCCCACAAGCGCATTCTTTCACAGCAACTGTTGCTAGATTTGGCAGGCAGTCACAAATCCAATTCGATCAAATGGATGTCAGTAAAGTCTTGACATACCAATGGAGCTTCCAGTTTAAAACGCTACACTAGTGAGCTACACTGTACAACAGCAGAGCCCTTTTTGGTGCTACACAGAACCATATACAACACATTCTCCATTAATCTGAAGAATCATTTCACGATGCAAAGAACCAGTTAGGCATACAAATGGCTCTTTGAGTGTTCATGGTTCAATATCGAACTACTGTCTTTACTAAAGAACCCTTTGAAGAACCATCTTTAAGTGTAGAACATGGAAAGGTCAATAAGGTTGGCATAACAAACTTAATGTTCTTTGTAATCTTCTAATTATTAATCTTCTAATATTGAGACCAGATAAAGGTTTAAAAACCGAAGTTTGCTTATTTAACTTTATTTAGACTCCTGATTTCCCAGAGTTCAGCATAAGTGAACACATTTTCCACTCTGAATGTAAGAGTGCTCAGCAGAGAAGTGAGATTAAGGTAATACTGATAAGAGTAACTGTTCAACAGTCTACATATTTCTAGTCAGATAAAGAACAATGTGCCAGGCCATGTCAAAGGCTCTTCTGTGTTAGATATACCAAGTGGGACTTACTGATTGGTGCTTGGACTCCCGAAGCCTCCGAAACCTTCAAACAAACAAATAAGGAACATGGTTTAAAAAAGAAAAACAGTATATCATGATTTTTTCCTGCATTAAACTGAACACATTTCACTTGTGCCTCTTCAACATAAACCAGAATAGATTTTAAAGATATCTCTGCCGTGACCGTCTGAAGTGTTGCAGTAATTAATTACAGCGTGTAGAGCAAAATTACCAGTGTGCAGATTTACCACGACAGCGGCTGACATTCAGCAACATCTACAGTGGTACAGAGGCGCAAAGCATGCCAGCCCACTGTACCGTACCTGCGTCTGACTGCGCGACGTCTATAATTAACTCACCCATTTGGTTTGTGCGCCTCTGTAGAATAAACTAAAGCTGCCAATGTTGGAATACTGGTATTTGCTAGTGTCTTGAGGAGCATTCTGCTGTTTGCTGGACAATGCTCGCATCTGGAAGACAAAGTTGGCATTTGATGGAGCATATTGGTGTTTGGAAGACACTGTTGATGTTTGCTGGAGAATACTGGTGTTGGTAGGACAACGTTGGTGTTTGCTGGAAAATACTGGTGTTTGGAGGACAATGTTGGAGTTTGGAGGACACGGATTGTGTTTTCTGGAGAGTACTGGTGTTTGGAGGACAATGTTAGTGCTTGCTGGAAAATACTGGTGTTTGGAGGACAATGATGGTGTTTGCTGGAGAATACTGGTGTTTGGAGGACAATGTTGGTGTTTGTTGGAGAATACTGGTGTTTGGAGTACAATGTTGGTGTTTGTTGGAGAATACTGGTGTTTGGAGGACAATGTTAGTGCTTGCTGGAAAATACTGGTGTTTGGAGGACAATGATGGTGTTTGCTGGAGAATACTGGTGTTTGGAGGACAATGTTGGTGTTTGTTGGAGAATACTGGTGTTTGGAGGACAATGTTAGTGCTTGCTGGAAAATACTGGTGTTTGGAGGACAATGTTGGTGTTTGCTGGAGAATACTGGTGTTTGGAGGACAATGTTGGTGTTTGTTGGAGAATACTGGTGTTTGGAGTACAATGTTGGTGTTTGTTGGAGAATACTGGTGTTTGGAGGACAATGTTGGTGCTTGCTGGAAAATATTGGTGTTCAGAAGACAACGTTGGTGTTTGCTGGAGAAAAGTTTGAAGAACAATGTTGGTGAAGAATGCCTGCGTTTGATCGGGAATGCTGGTGTATGGTTGTCACTGGCAGTGTCTGGTTGTCGGTGTTTGGGTATGGTGGCAAGAATTGGTGTTTTCATGACAATGCTAGTGTTTGGTGAACAGAGTCAGTCTTTGGTAGACAGGATTGGTGTTTGGTTAGAAAATTCTGTTGTGTGGTGGACAATGCTGGGGTTGTCACTGATGGTGTTTGGTTGTCAATGTTTGTTTTTTGTAGTGAACGTCTGTGTTTGGTGGACCAAACACTAAACGCAGGCAGCAGTGACACATTTGGAGTAAATGAGGCAAAAGTGGGAGATGTGGATTTTCAGGTTTGTTCTCCACACTTCGTTTAAAAATGGGCCATCCAGCTGATTTATTCTGGGCGCTCAGCACAGGGCCAGCGCTGAATGTGGGTTAATAAAGAAACCCAGCACTTAGTGCACTTCAAATGCACGGCCATGCCAGAACACAGCACAGAGAAGAGGCAGACAGAGAGCTTGTGCTGTAATTGATATTTACTTCAGGCTAATGGGAAGAGCACTGAGGCTTGCTAAGCGTTTCCTTGAGGGACTGGGCAATTCCTCTGGCAGCGCTTCAGACATGCTTATTTGTTTCCCTTTGATTCGCTCATTATTACACGGCACAATGGGAGGCGTGAAAGTTGAGGCTAAGGCAAAATAATCCACAAAATGTTCTGGCTGTTTCCATTAATCTCTCAACTGTGTTTTGGCACATCTTATTAAAAGAAGAGATAATCAAAAACAAATTAAATTTCACCTTCTCCATGAAGCAGCAGTGATTAGTTTGCATGACGATTATTATCATTTTAAGACCTCCTACTGCTCTTTCTCAGGGCGTTTTCACACTTTCAGCGTCTCAAGTGGTCTCAGAGCGCCAAGTCATGGTTCTCTGTGCATATGTGGACACTTGTTTTGTGGTGCAATTGATTCTTGCATTGCGAAAACAAAATCGTTTCAGTCTGCTTCTCCTTTTGTTTCATGGTTCAAGAACTCCACACCCAGTCTTCCAGCACTTGGAGGGTAAAAATAATACTTAGGAGAGCAGCTGACTGTGGGTTCATGTGACCTCCTGAAGAGGTAGCACCTCTGACAACACTAAAGGAGTAAGCCATAAGAGCCCACGTGCTGATTTTACCATAGTTAAAATGTAATGTACAATCCAATGAGTAGTTAAATTCCCTTAATCGGTGCAAAAATCACTAACATATTGATGTTTATTCAGTGTGCAGCAGTGTTAGCCTGCATGTAGCATGAATGCAATGATTTTTGAAAAAGCCATTTATTTTTGCCAAAGAGAAAAACAGCTTAGACCCGGTGTTCCTAATATGGGCATGACTCCGACTACAGAATGACACGACTTTATTCTCTATTGTCTGTTGAGAATACAAAACACTGAGGTCATCTGAAGCTGGCTGCCTTGTAGGACAAATTAACAAAAGTGTGTTCCCTTGCTAATCGTTTTCCAGTATGCTCTGCGATCATTGAAAGGCCGTTCATTGTTAGTTTTCATTAAACTCCATTTTTATTATTTGGCCTTTTTAAAAACAACTGACTATTTGATAAATCGTCAAAATTACGGATGCGTGATGATATCAGAATCATACTGCCACCAAACAGAGATCTGGATCTGGCTGATATTTCATGTTATTTCATGGAATTGATTGAATTCTGCTGATTTTTTATTCATTTTACTGCATCTGTAATCTGTACACATAATATTGGCTTTGGTATCAGCAGATATGTACGTGAAATACACTGGATATCATCAAAATAATAGGTAGACAATAGAATAACTAAAATAATCAATAAAGACAGCACCGCAGCCTTTATACAATTTATCAAAAGAATCACAATCTATAAATTACAAAGCTCCAAAACACCATTTCTGCCAAAGATTGAGACTGAGAAAGGATTCAGTGCATGGAAACAGGCCAGAGGCGTTAAATCTTTCAGACGGTCCATTACTTGCTGCTCAGACAAACCCTATAAACTTTAACATGGCTGTTGACTGTGAAAACAGAGCCATCACTCAGGCAGACGGCGATGTGGCGTTTCAGTGTGAAACTCACCTCCAGAAGAGCCGAAGGCCGAGAAGCCGGGGCTCTGGGCTCCGAACCCTGGGTTCTGCTGAGCCAGGCCGCCGAAAGACGGGGCGCTGCTCTGATTAGCCAAAGCGCCGAAGGTGGGGGCGCTGGATGGAGAGGCAAACCTGCAAGTGAAAAGAAAAATATGAATTAGACTTTTTCAGTATTCAATGCGTCACTCTTTACATGTATTACAGCTTCCATTCTTTTTTTTAGGAGACTCATTTATAGTTTCTCGAAGAAATCTGCAGACACACCTCCAAAGTTCTGTCTTAGAAGTTGCACTTTTTGCTTCTCACCATTCAAGAAATCCCAATTACAAATTTGAAACCTTATTCAACAACATCTTTCAACAACATTTTTCTATTTCCTTTTCTCAGTAAAGCTACACATCCTTTCAGACCCACAGCGCTGAGTCGTCTTCTCACAGTGGAAGGATGGACAGAAACACCTGTGGATGTTTTCAGATCTGAAGCAGCTTGATTTTCTCCTCTCTCTCAAAGATGAAAGCTTTAAGTGCTGTTTATCTGATGGGGGCAGTTTTGGTGTCTAACAGTTCTTCCAGGTGGTTGTTAGGAGTCCCAATTTCTCTGTAGATTTTAATCACTTTTTTGACTCGTTTTTCCACCTATTTTTCTTTTGACTTTCTCCTTCTATACACAAGTGGATTATCTATCTCTCATAAATATTTCCTAAAAACTTGTATTTGATAACTTTTGCATAGCACTGTTCATATAAATGTATGCATTAAAACTTACGAGCCAAAAAAAATACTTCTGAATGAATTTAATAAATTAAACTTACAATGACATCAAGAGAATAGAGAAAGGGAGAAGGAGAGTCAGAGAGAGAGAGAGAGAGAGAGAGAGAGAGAGAGAGAGAGAAAGAATGACAGAGACACCAGCCCCTCCCCTTTATCAAATATAGGTGTCAGGCGGAAAGGCTGGACAAAAATACCATTCACCTCCGACCCCAATATGGGAGCCAATATTTGGCACTGACCTTCCTGTCAACTAATAGGTCAAACTGGACGATTGCTGGTGCTAAACAAGGACAGAGCTAAATCGAGGCTGTGCTGCTGTTATCGGGGACGCGGCTGTTCAGAAGGGGCCAATTTTCCACACAATAATTGTTCAATACAAATCTGAACTGCTCTGATGTATAGAAACGGCCTCTTAATCTACACTTTACAAGACAAATAACTCTTTCAAGATTTCTTAAAAACTAAGATATTTCAATTATACAAAATCAAAGTATGGCTGTTCTGACAAAAACACGTCTCACTTACAAATACATTTAAAAAGCAACACGTTTTAAACCAAGGGGAACGTTGGCTTAATGAAGCTGTTGCTATGAAATCCCATTCGGTTGCTAAGGTGTTGCTATGTTATCCCAGGTGGTCAGTAAGATGCTGCTTGGCCACTACTATGGAATCACAAGAGGTTGCTAAGGTGTTTGGCTGTTGCTAGGGTATCCCAGGTGGTTGCCAAGTTGTTGCTAGTCTGTTGGTGTTGTCCCAGGTGGTTGCTAAGATGTTGCTAGGCCGCTGCTATGGAATCCCAGGTGGTTGCTATGGTGTTTGCCTGTTGCTACGGTATCCCAGATGGTTGCTAAGTCGTTGCTATTCCGTTGGTGTTAGCCCAGGTGGTCACTAAGATGTTGCATGGCTGCTGCTATGGAATCCCAGGAGGTTGCCAAGGTGTTTGGCTGTTGCTATGGTATTCCAAGTGGTTGCTAAGTTGTTGCTAGTCTGTTGGTGTTAGCCCAGGTGGTTGCTAATATGTTGCTTTGCCTTTGCTTTGGTATCCCAGGTTGTTGCTAAAAGGCTCATTCAAAAAGTAGTCTTAGACACTCCTTATAACTTTAGCATGAGTGGGTGGAGCTAAACTGTTGTAGGCTAAATGTTTAAAACCAAACTGCTTCCATTGCCATCAATGAATCTGTCTACATTACCTGTGAGCTGCAGAGCGCAATACACCGTTTTTGATAGAAGCCCCATTTCAATGTTTGACGTGTTGTGTCGCTCTGCCATTTCACCTCAAAACAGATGAGGAGAAAAGCATCCATGAAAGGGGGGAGGATCTCTACAACCCTTCCAGTAAACACTTTGGAGAGGAAGTTAACTAGCTAGTCAGTTAAAACAATGTCCGAAAAGCACAGCTGGACAGCTCCATCAGTAAAGCTGCTGTTTTCTGACCTGTCTGTGATCTGTTCATGTTTTCACTTGATGAACGCACTTGTGTTTCCAGATTAGACATCCTGAAGGCTTTGTGATGCAAGACGATACAACATTTGAATGCTTGCTTGTTGTTAGGACAGTATTATTAGCAAGAAAAATGTGTGATTCCCAGGATATAAGCCCTTTAAAAGAAAAGAAGGGCAGAATGAACCTTTTTCCCCTGATTCTAAGACTTTTTGGGGCTTTTACGTGAGCTGAAGTGTAAATTCACACAAAAAACAAGCGCCTGAAGCCACACTAAGTCAGGAAAAATGCCCTAAGCCCTGTGGGGCTCCTGCCACTTTACAGCCTCATCACCAAATGAAAACCTCAGGCAGGCCAGATTACAACACAGGAGAGATTGAGGGAAGAAAAAGTGGCTGTTTTCGGTTGTGCCCAACAAAGCACAGACAAACACAGGCCGTTTCTTATCTCTCTGAGGCTGAGGTGTTTGCGTGTGTCTGGGTTGTAATATGGGTGCCAGCATAATCTGCATCACAGCCAGGCACATGACCCCAGGATTATCTTCCTATAATCTAGCCTCTGCACCCATGGCGTCGTTGTGGGCTTGGCATCACCCGGCCCGAACGCCTTCACGTGGCTCTCCAGGATGCCAGAGAGGGAGAATACGGGAGAATAAGCCAATCGTGAAGAAAGCCAAAGCATTAAAATCCTCCAAGGTTAAAAGGTCACGCAGCTGAGCTCTACAGAAGAATCTGGTGGAGAATTTCCACCAGATGTGATATTAAAGGGCTGGTGGACTGATTTTGTTCATCATTTAAAGGGCCCATCTTTTTCTCATTGTCATTTTTTGCATGATTTGTATTGGTTTATGTACCAAAATAAGCCATAATTCTTTTTTCTGACATTTTTTTAACCTCCCTATGTCCTAGAACTAAGCAAACTGTTTTTGCTGATGAGCCTTTGAGACTGATATATATGCAAATGGCTTCTGTTTTAATTGGCTGTGCTTCATTCGCAAAAGCAGGCTGGGCTAAAACACTCCTTATAACTTCACTGTGGATGGGCAGGGCTGAACTGCCGTTGACTGAATAGGTATGTATACGTAAATACATTGATTTTTATGACACAAAAAAAGCATCAATCTAAAATGGATTGTTTTTGTAGCTCCGTTTCCATATATGGACTCCATTTTAACAAATGTTCGCAAGCTGTATCAACCTCTCTGCTAAAAAAGTGCTGAAAATTCAGTTTTCTATAGTAGCGGCCTATAAATGTTACCATATAAACTACAAAAATGTAAAAATAACATTAAAAATGAAATTATTAAAAACAAAAAGTGGTTGTAGTATTGGTGTTACTAATATTTGCTTCACTAGGCCTTCAGATTCAGACCAGACATACAGATATTTAAAGATTACTGATGTAATTTCACAGATTTAACTAACTATATTATGACTGATAAGTTTGAGGTTTATAGGAATATGCATTTCTCTGACAGGTGAATTCTGCACATGCCTGTACATGACAAGAGCAAAGAATCAAGGTTTCATCATTCGTTAAACACTGAACACAGCAATCTTTGAGGAGGTATAACAAATTTTTTGTTGTTTATGTGAATAACATGGATTTAGCTTTCCCACCATAAGAGGATGAACGCCCTTCCCTTCCTAATACATTTGATTTACCTCGCCATTTGGCATGGTCTGAAAAATTTAATAGGCTTAAACTCTTAAATTCTGATATTCTGTGTAGGGAACAAAAAAGAAAAAAACAACCTAAAACCCAACTCTGAGCAACAGTCACGAATTGAAGAGCACACAGCTCACATTTTTCTTGATGTCCTTGAGATTTACTTAAGACATTTGTGCACATTTATGTTTCAAAAACAGTTTGACTTATTTCAACATCTCCAATTCTTAGAATTAGACAGATTGTTTTCGTTACTTTGCCTTGACTGATGTACGTAAATGAGCTCTGCTCTGATTGCCTGCCCTGTATTGTATGTCATTGAAACAGCAAAAACACTCCTTATCATTTCAATCATAAATTGAATGGTTGGGGCAAAACGGCCAGTTTTTGCAGCCTAGTTTTCATATATGGACTTTTGTGTAAATACAAATACAAAAATGGCAGCTGCAGTTTCTCCCTTTATATTTAATACTGCTATGTGACATAAAATGTTGCGGCATGATGTGTTAGATACGTCGGACTATGTGAATTACTGTGATTCATCAGAACTCTCACAGGACAGCCGAGACTGAGTGGAGCGTATTCGCACAGCACGCATTTGAAGTTTCTGCTGTTTATCAAACACTCATTAGCATAGCGCAATATTTTGTGCAGAGGCTAATATCACAATAATGATTCACAATGTATTATGCAGCCCTGAACACAATAACAATGCATCTACTTGGCAGGTTGGGTGTCTATCTAATGGAATAATCTTCTGGGTTATTTCTCTCTTCTAAAGGGCCCATTTCCTACATTATTCTTCTGATTTTTTAAGGTGATTTTTTATGTCATAACTCACTTTTACATGAACATTTCTCAACCTCTTTTCATCCATTTGAGCATGAAAAGAGGTTGAGAAAGCTCTGTTCTGATTAGCTATCCTCTTAATGTACACTTTACAAGACAAACTATTCTATCTAAGACTTCTTTAAGCTTAAAAACTGAAATACTTTAAGTCTAGAAAATCAAAAGTGTGGCTGTTCTGACAAAAACACATCTAACCTACAAATACCTTTAAAAAGCAACACCAACAAAGCTAGAAGGGGAAAGTTTGTGAATAAATTAACTCAGCCTGATGAAGTCGTTGCTATGAAATCCCATTTGGTTGCTAAGGTGTTGCTAGGTTATCCCAGGTGGTTGCTAAGATGTTGCTACGCCGCTGCTATGAAATCCCAGGCGGCTGCTAAGCTGTTTGGCTGGGCCTTTAAGACTGATATATGTAAATGAGCACTGTTCTGATTGGCTGGCCTGTCTGAGTTGAAACACTCCTTATAATTTCAGTGTGAGTGGCCAGGCTTAAGATTTTGTAGTCTGAATAGGCAGATATGTGTAAATCCATAAGTTTTCATGATATTCCAAAACAATGAATTTAAAACTGCATGTATCTCTGAGGTGTTACCAGATTACCTGCCACCCTAAAACACTCTGCACATGACCTCACAAGAGCAGCTGATCTAATGGTGTCGTGCTTCCCTACAAATTCTACTGAGTGAGTTCAAACTGTGCTCCCACAGTAAAAACTACTTAAAAAAGTGTTCAGAGCTGAGATATTTATAAGGATTATGTCGTAATCCACTTAGATCCAAGGTATTAATAGAGACAGTAATAAGCTTAATATATACAAAATCATCATTTACAGGGAATTTTCTACTGGGAGGTGTCTGTCTCAAAACACAGGGCCAGGTTCAAGAATGCTTTCTTAGGAAAAAACTTGTGAAGACAAACACTTTGAAGTTCATAAGAATGTTCTTAAACGCAGTTTTCGAAAGGAAAAACCTCTCAAATATTCTCTTAAGATAGTCTTATTTTCTTAAGAAATCATCATTCAATCTTCATACCATGAATGACACAAGATACATTTTGAATTTGTATTACCTGTTATTTCTGTTATTTAGTTTAATCCACTCAGAGGAGAAAAATGGGGGGGAAACATCAAATAAAATATTAAAAAATGTTAGCAAACAAGATCTACATGTTATGATGGAAGAAACAGCCAACAGGAAAAAACTCATCATGGGAAAATACGATAATTGTGGGGTGACGACAGAAACGAGGACGAGGAGCAGCAGAGGCGTCCGAATTTGATAAATTTAGATGCTGACCTCGTCAACTCTCAAAGCCGAGTGTGAGAGACGAGTGTGAGGCTACCGTTAAGAACACATTTAACAACATAATAATAATAAGAAAATAACATAATTCTAAAAAGGCTTGGTGAAAATAATACATTACATTTTTATGAGGAGGCTTCAATGTTTAAGATGTTCTTGATATCATTCTAAGTGAAGTTGAAAGATTTTGTTTTATTAAACCTAATTCAAAAAAAAAAAAATTCTGTCCCACGTTTTCAGCCACGCCCCTGCATTTCAAAGCAAGAAGTGAGACTGCATCCCCGTTAAACATGGCCACATGGTGAGCAGGTAGATCCCAGTGCAAAAGTGTGCCAAAGATTGAAAATCAGTATTTAACATTAAGAATTGTCACTACCGAATCTGAAATTATGTAAATTAGATAAGGAGGTTTGTGTTTTAATAAAAAATACTATGATGCATGTGTAAAGCTGTTTAAAGGTGTGTTTGCTTGTCATGTAGTGGGTAGAATTTCTGACTTCTGCTCAAAATGAGCCAAAACTGTCACCACGAAACAGTCACGACTGAAACATTTGGTAAAATCTCTCTAAAGTCTCTCTCAAATCTAAAGTAACAGCATGACTGTTTTGGTAGTGACAAAATAGAATGTTCAATTCTTTGTTTTAATAATATAAAAATAATTAAGGTATAGATTCACTCAAAGCAAAAGAAGTTTAGTCTGAAGTTTGTCAGTTTACAGTCCAAAATTAATTTCAATTCTGACTTTGAACCAATTTGTAATTTATTTTGCAGAACTTCCCAAACTTTTACAGTTTTCCAACCTCTCTTTATCCCTTTCCAAAATATATAACTTAAAACTCTTACTTCAAAAAGGAGAGGAAAATATGTTTTTCCATAATATAAGTATTTAAGTATTGAAGTACTTAAGTATTTAAGTATTGATTGTAATGTATTGTACTGCACTTATGTATTGTATTGTATTGCACTGCTCTATGTTTAACTCTGTTCCTTTTTCTCTAGGTGTGACTTTCTGTTTCTAGCAGTATCTGAGCTCAGGACTGGCTTTCTCTCTAACCTATTGGTAACTAGCAAAGATACTTTCTCTGGATAGACAAAGCACTTTTTGTAAGTCGCTCTGGATAAGAGCGTCTGCTAAATGCTGTAAACGTAAATGTAAATGTAATATGGGTCCTAATATTTATCAGTTTTTATATAAACATAATTTAATATAAATTAGTAAGTTAATTTTCGTCAAGTTTCTTTAGGTATGACGAGCATCTCTACAGATTTGTGGAAACTCTTACCCAAATCCTCCAACACTGGCCGCAGCTGTTCCCTCTCCAAACACCTTTCCCTGTGAAGAGCCTATCGGGTTGCTGAAGGAGGGGTTGGAGCCGAAAGTGGCCGAGCCTCCAAACGCAGGAGGACTTCCAAAGGCAGGAGGGCTGCCGAAAACCGGAGCACTTCCAAAACCAGCTGCGGGAACAACACCAACAACAGAAGATGAATTAAACAGAGAATTAGTATGTAAAAATCATAAGAATCTTAGTTTGAAAACTTGGTTCTTTTACTTATTTTTACCATTTTCCATATTTTAGGGTGTTTTCACAAACAGAAATTTAAAGGAGTTTTCCTTCTGGTGCTCTTTAGCAGTGATGGGATCTCAACCACTTGTTCATACCGAAACTCCTTTAGGACTTCGAGCCCACCAGGGCAACAAAGAACTATGGGTAGTGTTGTTCAAGTTGATCATATAACAGATCTGATTAGTGAGCCACGTTCAAAGGTGCAGTAAACGCCGCCAAGCTATTAAAAACCATTAAACAGTTTCTATTGTTCATGGAATCGTCTCCGGTCTAAATTATTGTTTACTGAACTTTACATTTTATTATACTGTATATTATAGTTTGTTGCCTTTTCAGAAAAGCATTAAACTACTTGCATTACAGTGACTGTTGTCCCCGTTCAGAGTTTTAAAACTGCACTGTGTCGTTTTCAGCAGTCTTGTCGCTGTGTATATACAGTACGCCTTGAGGTTCTTTAACTACACAGCAAAATGCAAAGCAGGCCGGGGTGGTTTTGTTCTTACAAAGCACAAATAAGCATGAGCTGTGTTGATTTGTGGGTCTGTTTAGAGGGGTCTGAGGTTGTTTGTCATGTTCACATATGCACAGCAAAGCATGACTTCATTCTTGGAGTAACAATTGTTCTAATATTCCACACTGATTTTCAGACTTTGGGACACAATTTTTCAAACCAAGAGTGAAAATATAAGAAGAGAGCTGCTTTAAAAAGCAAGCAAGCAAGTTCGAGCATTTTCAGTGACCCAGGAGCAACACTTGGTTTGGCTAATCGACGCTTCATTAAATAATGTGTATTTATATACAGAGTGCAAATGTCAGAGACCATAGTTCACTTATTTAATTTTCATTTTAAACAACCATTAAGGATACTGCATAAGGAAGGAGAAAGGCCAAGGAGGTTTATCAAACTGGAGCTCAAAAATGATCCAAAGCTCCAGAGAAAATGGGGCTCCTAACAACCACCTGGGAGACCTGCTAGACACCAAAACTGCGCCCATCAGATAAACAGCACTTAAAACTTTCATCTCTGAGAGAGAGGAGAAAATCAAGCTGCTTCAGATCTGAAAACATCCACAGGTGTTTCTGTCCATCCTTCCACTGTGAGAAGACGACTCAGCGCTATGGGTCTGAAAGGATGTGTAGCTGTCAAGAAGAACCTCACTGAGAAAAGGAGACACATCAAACAAAGAAGCTGAACAATGGACTGACCACTCCAGAGAACAGACCTCAACATCACTGAATGTGTTTGATTACTTCAGAAAACAATCAACCAACTTCTAAGACTGAACTTTGGAGGTGTGTCTGCAGATTTCTTAGAGAAACTGAAAGTGAGTCTCCTGAAAAGAATGGAAGCTGTAATAAAGGTGACACACTGACCACTCAAACATCTGATAGTGTATTTAATTTTTGAAGGTTCTGTGCAATGTTTTCTTTTTGTCTGAGCCTGAAAAATGAATAACTTGTACTTAATGGCCATTTTGACTGGACATCAAATAAACAAAGGTAGTCTGTACTTTACTGTACTGTATGTATGTAATTTCTTTCTCCCCATCAGCTGAGTCACGGCTGCTGAGTGTCCTTGCTGGTTCTGTGTTACTCCTGGCCCTGGGCTCTAGCACTGATCTCTCTGAAGCTTCAGAGACAGCGAGACTGAATGAACGCTGGAGGCCCTGTTGTACAGAAGGTTTTCCTGTCGCTCTGTATTGATTGCTAACCCCATTCACGCTGGTCCCAGAAGGGAGGGGTGCGTTCAGAGCCGCTCTGAAATTACAGCCAGGCTCCGCGCACACCCCAGTGAATAATTGATTGAGCTAATGTAATTGGATTACATTCTCTGGATCACTGCCATTAATGGCCAGAAATGAGACTGTGAAAGGATCAGCTGGGATAGATGTGAATTTATAGCAGGCAGAGCGTGAGAGAACAGAGTTAGAAAAACTTTCCATCTGTGAAATAAGTAAGTTAATAAATAAAAATATACAAAACATGTCGGTACAATAATGGAGAAGTTTGTTTTCCTCATTTCCCTTCCAAGCTTAAACTCCACCAGGTAGCATGGTGCTAACCGCATACCCACGTTGCTCATGTCTCAAACCATGTGGAGCTGTTCAGTAACCTCTAATAGACTTCCTATACTGTATGACACACTGTTATCCATGAACACGGACTAGAATATGTCTCACAGCAGCCCACGTGTTTGTGCGTTTGTCCATTTTGTACAGTACTAATGTTTCAGGGCGAATTACAGCTGTATGCAAAAATTCGAAATCTGCTCAAATTATGCTTTGTTGCTGAGTAAAAGGAAGCTTACACATCCTGTAAATTTTACTTTACTTAAAAACCATAATAAATATACATAAATAAATAAATAAATAAACAAATAAATAAATAAAAATGTGCCAGAATTTTTAAGGTCAAATTTTACGTTGCCTCTTTTCCCCCCAATATGTTAAATTCAGCAAGTACACACTAATTATTTAGTTTCACTTTTTACTTCATTTTCAAATTAACAAAATGAGCTGTAGCACTGCTGCTGCATCACCAATAGGGCAGCGTGCTGTCAGGGTCAGCTAAGGTTCTGCTGCTGCTGAAATACACACAGATGTTTAATCCTTCAGCACCTGATCTTTACCCATCACTCCAATGCTATGATTCTCATCTCCACTGTACACAAATCCCACAATCCCCCTCACCAAGGCTAGACGGATCACCAGCATCATTCATATCATTACACCGATTACAGTTCGAGAGATCCATTCAACCTTGAATATGAAGATTCAGTTGATGGCAAAAGATAAAACACTAAACTGTGTAGATGGGCTGCAATGATTGGTCGATTCATTCCGTAATAACTAATTATGGGAAAAGTTTTGACTTCCTCTTTTTTCACATTTTCTTACTTAAATGTATTTATCATTTATTTCTCTTCATGGTCATGTTCTTTATTTTTCAGTAACATTTTACTGTCCTAAGTCTCGGATTATTTTGTGTTCAAAGCACTTTGTGAATGTGTGTAAAACAGGGGGTGATATGGCTTCTATTGTTTCAAATAAACACTCTGTCATGCTCTATAATGTTCATATGATCCACACAGTCATTGTGACAGACTGTAATACACTACAGGAAGTGTAGGGGGCGATATGGCTTCTATAGTTATATTTAAAAAGTGCTCTATAATGTTCATATGATCCACACAGTCACTCTGACAGACTGTAATACACTACAGGAAGTGTAGGGGGCGATATGGCTTCTATAGTTATATTTAAAAAGTGCTCTATAATGTTCATATGATCCACACAGTCACTCTGACAGACTGTAATACACTACAGGAAGTGTAGGGGGTGATATGGCTTCTATAGTTATATTTAAAAAGTGCTCTATAATGTTCATATGATCCACACAGTCATTCTGACAGACTGTAATACACTACAGGAAGTGTAATTTCTATTTTTTCACAGAAACAAAGAAGAAGAATTTGCTTACTGCAAAGAATAACTGATGACTAAAAAATGATGGAAGCGGCAAAAACAGAGAAGAACTAAAGAAGCTAGGATATTAATAAACAAGTCTATTAATAAACAATACTTGACAGATCATTGACTGCAGCCCTAAAATGCTGCATTAAGTCATGGAACACAGCTGATCTGGAGAAGTTCCCTACAAACAATACCAATAGAATTATTAGGATTGTGTCTAAAAATGCTCTGCTGCGCTCACACTATGGTGCTTTGAGAAAACAGGGCTCTAGATAGGCAAAAAAGGGCATACATTCTCTCTGATTGGCTGCTGTTTGAATCACTTGTTGAGTAAAACTCTCACACCGTAGGATTCTTGAGCGTTTTAAGTCTGAATTATCAAACGTTTGATATTATCGGAGGGTCTCTGATCACTTCAGATTTCTATCGGAGGGCTAAAAGTTCACTGGTTTCTCCTCTCACACTACCAGATCATCCGCGGTGTCAGTCACTTCCGATTGAGCTCCCGGCCTGGAAAATCGCTTCAGATTGTGAAAATTTGTCGCAAGGGGCAAATCGGTCTTAAAATTGTGTAAAAAATAGTGTAGTGTAGGCCCGGCTTAAAAGACTCGTCAGACATGTCGGAAGAATACACTGTGATGTGTCAACAGTAGCACCCTTCGTTGTAACTGATCTCTGAGAATGGACCGTACCTGTTTTTGCCGGAGTGGAGAAGGAGCCGAAGCCCTGAGCTGCTACAGAACCTGCTCCAGCACTGAATGTTCCTGCAGTCTTCTGCTCTCCGAATGTAGTCGTCCCAAAGCCAAACGCCTTCGCGCCACTGTTTCCAAACAAACTCGTGGATCCTGCAGGATTCAAAAGGCAGTGTTAACTGTGTTCACTTTCATTTTAACCTTTAACTTTTATTACAGCAGTACAAGCTGAACTAGTACCGTGGTACACAAAACATCTTTTTGGGTAAATTAACAAAAATATGTAAAATGAAGGAAAAAAAAAATCAAATTAAACAGTAAATAACAAACTTGCTATGAGTGCTGAGAATGTCCTTCCCAACCCTCTTGTTTAAGACTTTAAAGCTGTATGCTGTTTAATCGAGTTAAGGAACATGCAGCTCTTTTACTGCCCTGTTGTGGCTCCATATCAGAATTAGATTTTTAGGTAAAATTTATTAATGCTCCTGTGCAGTAAAATAAAGCTCTGCTGACTGTTCTAACACAGTTTTATCAATAAATGGTCTTAAACGCTGGAGATAATGTGTACCTGCTAATTCACCCTTTAACCCTGAAGGTTGGAGTGTAGACTGACTCACCACAGCAACATAGACCACAATCTTGCCTAGCTAGTAGCTAACAAAAGGGCGAAGAGAGAGATTTAAGACAGACATCCATAATTTGGAGACTAACTGACTTATTTGCATTTATAATCACTCCAGCTGGTTTCCTGATACGTTTAATCTGCAATGAGAACACAAAGACTAAGTCAGTTTCTCCTCCGAATTTTCCCGTTCCACCTTAACTGGCGCAGCAGTTACATTCTGGTGCCTCAGGATGTCGAATGTTGAGAGACATTTTACAAGAAATTGTTCTACTTTTGTGGCAAAGTTTCCTGCTGGAGATGAGAGGAAATCAGCTAAAGCCTGAAGTAGAGCAAAGTGAGTCTGTGTTTTCGTTTATATTATATTTTTAGCCTATACTAGTACATCAGCACATACTGAGACATATTTACAGCCAATATGTTAAAATGGACACAAAAATTTGTGGCTCCCAAGGTGGTTTGATTTTTGTTGAACGGACAAAATGGCTCTTCCTAACATTTGGGTTGCCGACCTCTGCTCTAGGGGTTTCCGGACAAGTCACACAATTTCCCAAATGACCTGGTTCGCTCAGCGAATTTAAACAGGAATTCTATAACATCACACATAAATGCACTTGCAACTCAAGTTCAGCTCTACCCACCATCCGAAAACAAACATATTTCAGAACAAAAAGTAAAAAATAAATTACTTAATTTCCCCAAACTTGTGAAGGATTAATGTCCTATTATCCCAAAATAATTACGCATGATAATGAAATATACTTGTAACAATTATTTTTTTCAGAGTGTCATTATTCTTACATATTAAATCAAAATGTTGAGAAAACTGTTTATTTCAACCTAAAAAGCCAAAATTTGAACCTGAAACAGGTAGAAACAGGCTTATAAGCTCATATGGTTATACAGCACTGGTCATATGTTTATAATGAAGTTGTGCTTGTGTTCATTTATGTGTAAGTTTGAAGTAGACAGCCTGGCTAATCTGGCTGCCCCACCAGCGCAAAGTGCCGAAAGTGAATCGGTTATTAGAGCCTCTCTTAATAAATCTGCCCTATATGTTGTACTGTGTACAAAGTGTTTTGTATTCTGGTGTTACCACAGCAAACAAGACCGCGGATGGGAAAAAGTAAAGTAAACAAGGCTTCTGATTGAATGAACAGGTGAGAGAACACAGAGAAAGAGCAGTGAGGACACTGTTAATGTATACGCAGCAGTTTACTGAGCGGTTTGAGATTAGCGGGTTACTGTTCGCTGCACAGACACAAAGTGTGCAGCAGACGTGCTGCGGCTTGATATGAGGATGGATGATAGCGGAGAATTAATAGAGAATGTGATCCTGTGGAGAAAGTTTGTATTCATAAATTACAAAGTTTCTTTGCTGTGTGGTTTAAAATTACAGCACCTAACTGCTTTCACAGATCACGTCAAATCGATTTATGCCACAACACTGTCAGATTGTGGTGTAACAAAATGGGTCAAATGTGTGTGACAGATGACCAAAAGAAACGGAATTTTGTATTTGACATAACAGACCTCTGATCGAAAACTACTTAGGACTCATGTTCATGTTGAACACTGAATCATAGGTAGCTGCATTTCATTTATGTAGTATGTGTGTGTAAAAGGTATCACAATATCACAACATACAGACTTAAATGTACTTAAGATTCAATGTTTGTTCATTTTTATTTTTCTACATTATTTGAATGGACCAATGCAGTGTTTCTTGTGGATTAAGAGGTTTGGCCTGGAGGCAATGTGAAGAAGAGTGGGGGGGATATCAGACCACTGATAGGTATGTTTTTTTTTCCCATCCCTACTGGGGAAATGGTTGTGATTCTGTTTGTGTGTGTTTATAAACAATGTAAAAACACTGTGTATTCTTGGCGGGAATTTGCCAAGGCCGAACATCTAAACTGACCAATGACTTTGTGTCCAAACTAAGCTCCTTCACTGAAATGTGTGAATGTGCTTCAGGTTAGAAGTGAACTGATCTCCTCACCTCAATTCTGTTGAAGGCCAGGCATATAGACACAGAAACTGTTTGGATTTCTTGCTGTTTTTGTAGAAATTGTTTATTTCTTGAGCTTTCGCCACCGTTTCCAGTTCAATCAGAACCCAAAGCTGTTAGGACTGGCTGGAGCATTTTACTCTTCAGGGCGTCTCGTAGAACTTGTCTTGATAATTATATGAATTAATAGAGACAAGCTATTTTTCAGTGACAGTTAAAACTATGTTGCTAAATGAGGTCCTCTGCAGTTCACCCACTTCCAGTGCTTCACTCAACAGCAGCCTAACTGCACCTGTGTATGTGACTCAGTCTAACTTAGCAGGTTTGTTGTGGGGAGTGAATGTTGCCGTAACCACAGCAATGTGTATGCCATTAGCGGCAGGGACGTTACTTCTGTCAGCCATAAAGTGTGGAGATGAGCTCAGGTTGCAGTATAGTAGTTACTGAAAGGGAACAGAGCCGGGGTAAGAGCTAAGCCAACCCAGCCTGGACCTAACAAAACTCTGTTTACCTACATCGTCAATTTTTCTTTTCCTCGGAAATACCTAAGTAAGCTCATTTAGAGCATCATAAGATAGTCTGCTAAATGACAATGTAATATTGCCTATTAGTGCTGTTAACTAACTGAATTCTGTAATGCGGGCACGGCGGGAATCGGGCCTCCAGGGCGAGTCACCAAGGCACTGAGGATTGATGGGTTGGAATGTCACACTTTATTTGGATGGTCCCATATAGACGCTGTACAGATACTTAAATCATTAACAAGCTTTCTGGTGATGTTCAGTTGATTATTAACAACATTATGGTGAGGGTTAGGGTAAGGAGTAGATGTAGGTTTTGCTTTGTGGTTATGATTAGGGATAGATTTCATAAATTCTTTCACACTGAACTTGAGGTTCAGCTGCATTCAATGGATATTTAGTTATTACCTATAGACAGACTGAGCACTTACAAAGCATCTACAGTGGACCATCCAAATAAAATGTTACTTTTCCGCCATGGAGGTTTGTTACGAGCCGAAACACTGCAATACAAATGCTCTAAAATCACTTGGATCAAAACATGAATTAACATTAAAAGTCAAAAATTTGCAGCCTTGTCCAGTAAAGTTACTATTTTGGAGAGACATGTTTTTCTTTGCACATCAACGATTTTGTGGTTTGGATAAAAGGCCCCTCACCTGTTTGATTGGCTTGGCCAAACCCGCTTGTCGTGGTGGTTCCGAATGGGTTTTTGTTTGCAGCGTCTTCACTGGGTTTTCCTCCTAAACCGCTGAAAAATCCCCCACCAGAGGAGGAGGTGTTACCAGCCCCCGAGCCAAACAGACCACCGCCAGACGAGGGCTGATGGAAGAACAGGAAGAGGAGAGAAGTCAGATAAGTGAGGTATGATGATCTCAAAGACTGTGGTCTGACTGATATGACAACAGTCAATGAAACCAATATTGATCTTAAACAGCTAAAAGGTATGACAACTAATGATATCAGCCAACATATTTATAAATGAAACAGACCAATAGTTTTAGTTATGTAGTCCTTTAATGACTGATATGACTGCTGTGGTAGCTGGCAAACAACAGCTGTGCACGTTTTTCAGGACAAAGACCTAAAGTACCGCCTCTGGGGGACAGTTTGACATTGAAATGGAAGAAGGGAAGAGAGGGCAGAATGAACTACGCCATTTTCTGCTTCAGTGAGAACAACAGACCTCAAATTTATAACCAGGACAAGGAAAAAAAAAACACCATATCTTTACAATGGTTTAGACTGAGGAACAAAGATGTTTCCCAGGATCACTGCAAATGATATCAACTTTTGGCAACTGGTGACAGGCAGCATTGCAGAGTAGGGCTGAACAATACTGAGGTCATTTTTAACGGTTTTTGCTGTGAGCATTTAAATTTTTGGGAAAAACGAGAAGTCAAACATTTACTCAGATAATCTATTCTCAGAGCTAATTATCACCTCATCGCTGGAACAGGTGGGTAAAGATCAGTAATAGAAAATATGGACAAAATACCATATTGCAAATATGACATGCCTGGCAGTTTGGGTCGTCATGATACCAGACTTTCGACTTTGACACAGATAACAGATGTATTAGAGATACACCACAATAACACTTTACAATCATTTGAATGGCACTGAAAATGAGAAATAGTGCAGTTTGTTTTCTTCGCTTTCCTGCAGGGGTCAACAGTTCAAACAGTCTGGGTAGCAGATCAACCGTGAAAATATTAGCTGTTTCCTGTTTTCAAGGAGGAACATTAGACAGGAGATTTATAGTGTCTATTTACGCAGAGTATCGAGAGAGGGGTTAATTTATCTGCTACAGGTTTAATACCTGAAAACAACAATCCGCTCAATAAATACACAGAAAACAGCAAAACAAAAGAAGCGGAAAGGAAAGTCTCTGCGAGCATGCTGACGCCATCTGTACCCTCAGATTCATTCACAAACCACAGACGAAGAGCAAAGAATAACTAAAAATATAATATAAAACAAAGAGTGTTGAATTTTGTGGCACATACTGTTATTATTTTAAATTTTAGTCACAGAATCGTCAAGTTGTTTTTATGTAAACAGTTTTTATTTGTCAGCTCAGTTTTGTTCTTTTGAAAGCTGTTTTTAATATTATAATGTATTTTCTTTAATACCTTATAATTTTTAGGTTTTGTAAGTTTATTTAAAAGCATAAATAAAACAACAAACAAAAAATCTAGCTTTAGCTAGAAACGTTAATTTCCTGCCTCACTAAAGTGTGAAGTAGTTATTAGATTGAACCAGATGTTACCATTTTTAAATAGAAAATGTTAGGGTACTGAGTCATTTGCTACACTTCAGTGTTGAAACAACATGCAGAACTTTCAGAACTTTGTGCAGCATAATAATATAAATAATATAATATTACAATATAATAAAACACACTGAAGAACCTCTGATGATGATTAAAAATCTCAATGTAAAGGATCAATATGTCAATAATTATCAACCCCTAATACAGTTACGCCAGGATTAACAAAGACATCTGACTTTGACTACAAGCTCTCTCACTATTCAGCTGATTAAGGGTTTAAGTGTTTAAGAGTTACACCCCTGTGGTGAACAAAGTAAAATAGGTTTCTTGCCAGTGAATGACAGTACGAGCTGAGTGAAACAGTGATCATTTGTCTGCATGTGTAAATTAACACATTACCTGACCAAAGACACTTCCACTGCTGGGCTGCTGACCAAACACTGAGGACGTGGGGGTGCTGCCAAACGCTGTCGGGGGGGAAAAAGAAATGAGAAACAATGAAAGTGACATAAGAAACTCTGGGTTTGCTCTTCAGGTTAACCTGTTATAAACAAGCACACTAAGGCTACATTCACACAGGAGGTGAAAGTGGCCCGAATCTGATTTTCTCACCAAATCAATTTTTTTTGTTAGGCTGTTCACAATATATTTAAAATGTGATCACACACCTAAACTGACCCACATGTGTTATGTACTTTATTGGTCCTACAAGGGAAATTTGTCATTTTGCTGCCTAATCACGCCCAATCTGGGAGCAGCACAGCGTCACCAGCAGAGCATCGCCGCCTGGGGCAGTGGGGGGGGTTGAGTGCCTCGCCTATGGGCTCAACGAGGTATGCCTAGTCAGTTGTGGGATTTGAACCCGCAACCGGTTGGTGGCTCACTTCTCCTACCACTAGGCTACTGGCCACCCCATGTGCAAAAGAACAATGCTTCACGCAGCGCACTCATCCAGAGGTAAACCATCATGACTGCCAATGAACGCCAGTTGCTCCCAGAGGTTTCAGTTTCATCTTCTTCAGCATCACAGGAGCCAACAAGAAGCTTCATTGACTGACAGCTGGACTCATCACCCAGAATGTGTTCAAGCTCACTGGAAAAAGGGCTCCGTCACGTCTTTGGTTCACAGCTTTGTGCGCCCGCAGCTGCGCTGTATGAAACTGATGATGTGCAATATTTTATTTGCACTTATATCGGTCATAATTTGAAAACATTCGCTTCTTGGTTCTTTATTAAGTTAATCTTTTTTCCATTTATGTTTTTATGACGTAAAAGTGACGTTACCAGCTCACTACAAACTACTGCCTCCCCAGAGTTCAGGCCCGCGGACCACTACACGGTGCTTCCACAGGTTGAGAAACCCTGCTGTAGAATGCTATTCTATAGCTATACTGTCTTAGTATATACACAGTATACATATATACAGCGAAAATATGTAAATGAATTATGAAATATGAGATATTCTGACTGGAACTCTGTGTAAAAAGGTCCATACTAAGGACAACAAATACTATATTAGAACGTATATCCTTCATAGTAGAAAAAAAACGAATGCTGAAAAGCACCGATTTGCAGTCTGCGCTGTCTAATCATCTCTTAAGTGATGTCAGTCTTTGAGCTCATCTCAACATTAGCTATTCCCAGGACAATACTGAAGTGAATGGGTTTATGATTCATCTTCTGTCTTTGTGGATATGCTTGTGTTTCACTTCCAACTGTCATCTGACATTACCAACACCCTGCATGGTGTCTAGAGCGTGACAGATAATAAGAAAACAGAGAAAAATTCTGTTCTTCTTTTATCATTAATGTCAATGGGTGCACAGAAAGTGCTTTAAATGGCTAGCAGTGACTCTTTTTCAGCAGCACTCAAATAATTCCACTGTGCTAGGACTGCATTCACTCAACGTCTTCACACCTTCCTTGAAATGTCATTACAGAGATGCGTATGGTTACTACTGAGCATTTTGGTTCATAAAATAAACAGCAGGTTACTGGCTTTAAATAACTGCGCAATTGCCTTCAGAATGAAAAGAGGAAAAATTAATGATCCTCAGAACAATGAAATGGTGTTAATACTGTTCACTCAATGCCTAAATATAACATTATAAACCTACTTTTGCCAAATTATCAGTAAGACTAACAATTAGTCATCAATATGATCCACACAGTCATTCTGACAGACTGTAATACACTACAGGAAGTGTAGGGGGCGAAATGGCTTCTACTGTTTCATTAAAAAGCTCTATAATGTTCATATGACCCACATAGTCATTCTGACAGACTGTAATACACTACAGGAAGTGTAGGGGGCGATATGGCTTCTACTGTTTCATTTAAAAACGCTCTATAATGTTCATATGACCCACACAGTCATTCTGACAGACTGTAATACACTACAGGAAGTGTAGGGGGCGATATGGCTTCTATAGTTTCATTTAAAAAGCTCTATAATGTTCATATGACCCACACAGTCATTCTGACAGACTGTAATAGACTACAGGAAGTGTAAGGTATATGATGTTTTGATTAGCTGATTGAATGATAATCAATTAATAAATCTACACACTCACCGAAAAACGGTGCTTCAAGGGTTCTTTAGTAGAACCATGAACACTATGCATGATTAAAGGGTTCTTTGCATCATAAAAGGGTTCTTCGGATTGATGGAAAATGTGCATGAATGTGCTACAGAAGGTTCTTAATAGAACCTTTTTGAAAAGCGTTCAACACAGCACCCAAAAGGGTTCTTCTGTTGTTACGGTGTCAAGCTTGTAACAATAGAAGAACCCTTTTGGGTGCTATTTAAAACCATTCTCAAAAAGGTTCTATACAGAAGCATCTACAGCACACTCCTTCAATCTGAAGAACCTTTTCATGATGCAAAAAACCCTTTAATCATGCAAAGGGTTCTTTGAGTGTTTGTGGTTCTAGATAGAACCATTTTCTTCTCTAAACAATCCTTGAAGAACCTTTAAGAGTGTATTATAGAGAATACGTAAACTGAATCATGTCTTATTCAGTATAAGATGATCTACTTGATGGTTGTAAGCTTCCTATCTGGGCTATTTGGTTAAATAAACAAGTGACTGAGTCTCATTAATGTGTGACTGGGTCAATGTTTTACTACAGAACAGGAGTAATTTAATAAATGCTGAACTTGCAGACCCACCCAGGAACCTACTAGCCAGCTAGAGGGCGTTTCTCCAAACCTTGTCCATTCTGATTAGATTTGAGTGCTCTGATTATACTTTGGCCTGATTAAGTAACACAGCACAGGCTAAAATGTGATTAGGCTGTAATAGACAGAATCGATTCAGTACTCAGTACCGATATCAGGCTAATACCTTTAGAAATGCTGGATCAGAAAAAAATAACAAATCTAATCCTATTCTGTAACTAATCTGGTCTGAAGTATCACAGATCTGCACAACATAATCTACAGCAAAGTGTCTAATGTGATCTAACATACAAGTAGTTGGCCAAGTGTACCTCCTATTTTAAGTAGTCTAAAGCCTTTTTTGATTGGGATTAGTATTACCTGGGAACGTGCTGTAATTTGAGTGATTTTAATCTAGTACGAATCCGCCATGTCCGTTGTTTTTACAAATCTGTAACAATGACCTCATAATTTGCCAAACCCTGAGCTCCTCAGTACTAGTAATCCTGCTTGAATCAACCTCTCAGTAATGTAATAAAACCAGGTAAGAGAAAACGGACGATGCTGAAGTCAGCTTCCTATTCGCCAGCTTTTTGATAAAATTTCTGTGTTCCATCTTAAATGGTACAGCATTCTCTTATTCACACCACTTTCTTATTTGCCAGCCTCTTGTTTGAATTCAGTAACTGCTGCACCATTTAAGGTGGAAAGAGAAAATCTGAATACGAGGCTGATGGATAAGAATCCGACTTCAGCTTCATAGAAAACATCTCCTTTTATTTCCTTTGTGAGGATGAGGCTATCAGCTAAAATGCAGCTCGATTTGACCCTTAATCCTCAAGTTCGTGACAAGAATACAGTTTCTGGTGAGGGCTGAATTACAAGGTGAAGGAAATTAAAATATCTGGAAAGTTCCTCTCACAAGGCAGTGCGTTTTCTGTCTTGTTAAGTTGAATGAATCCACACCACTAGCCTAATACTAGTCTATAAGTCAGTTAGCCGCATAACGTGTTGTTATTGTTCTGAAGTGTGTCTCTGTCTCATAAAGTTGACAAATGTAGGCGCGATGATGTTTCGTTCCAGGCTATTTGGGGTCATTACAGAGATACTTTATCCCGTATGAACTGGCCAGTCAAACCCCACACATATTAAAATAACGAACCTTCTCCGGTAAAACTAATCCCACTCAAAAAGGACTTAACTTTGCACTGTTAGTGACGTTTCTGTTTTATTGTGTGAACAAAAAAGAACAATTAAAAATAACAAGGTTGCTGGCTAGATTTTTCCTCATATAGGGTAGTACAATGATGATGATGGTTTTCATTAAGTGGTTACAGTGGTGGTGATAGGAACCAGACGTCCACCTCTAAAAGCTCCCTCACAGAAAGTTATTACATGAAATGGTTATGAATTCAATGCCTGATGTCTGAGGCATTGTTTTCTGACAGTTTTATGAGACGTTTTTGACCTAAAACATATTTTTAAAAACACATTCAATGTGGAAGCGTACCTGCAGGGTATTAGGAGGCAAAATAGTCCCCAAAGAAAACGTATTACTTCAGATTTTCCGCCATGTTACCATCATCAACAGTCCATTTAAACTCAGAAGACACGTGTAGGTTCACTGCTGGTTTTGGATGGTAAATAAAATGTCTGTATTTCTGTTGCAGTCATAGTGACCCCTGGTTCCTATCACCACCACTGTAAAGAAATCTTAGAAATAAATACATGGCATCTTTACGATCAGTGAATTAATATAACAAATCTGAAAGCTAATACATGCTTCCTCTACAGATCTGCATAATATTTCAATTAGCGAAATTCTTCAGAGGACAGAATGTGACCTACGAGCTGTAAACAAACAGGTGGAAGATAAAGGTCCATTCCACAGTCTCAGTGAGAACCCAGACAGGAAGCTGATCAGGCTCAGAGTCTGTGGGCCACAGATCAGCTGTTTTGTTGGGTGACCCACCCAGCCGTGTAACACTGCCAGGAGAATTCTGGGAATTCATGGGAATGGAAGAGCTCGTCAGAACGCAGCCCACGCCCTCAGATTAAACACCCGCTGGTGCCCCTGAGATAATGTCCCCAGCTGCCACCCAGCGAGAAGACCCTGGCACCTGCTGACCTCATATAGCCTGGATTCTAAGGCATTCACTTTTTGTTTAGCATGTAAAAAGCTTTCAGTCTTGAATTTGGCATAATTAAAATGATAATATTAATGAAAAGAGCTCTGGACAACTACCTATACCGTCACACAGAATTTCTACAATGCTGTGTCCTAACACTACTGAGATATTTTGCTTATAACATTTTCTGATTTCAAAATTAATTTATTTTAGGATAGATATTGCATATTGTGATTAATTTTAAACAAAAATTACAATTAAATTTTACTTTTCTATCACTCAAATACACTTCAATGCAAATTTAATTTTACATTTTAATGCACTATTACTGTTCTGTTTATTTGGTGAATGTAATATATAAAATATAAAATGTGGCCTGTGCAAAAGTTATGGCAAATTGTATATTTTATTTGTATGCTTTATTTTTGTCAATATGTTAATATATAATAGCAATAGTAAAGAGAAACTGTGCATCAAAATTTGCAAAAATGTCGCGTCATATTTTGGTTTGTTCCCTGTAGAGAAAGTGTTTGAGAAATGTGTGTGAGAAATTTATTTTCACTTAAATCCACAAAAATTTAATTTGACCAGGGGTTTAAACATCTGCACCGACTGTATTTACATGTATTCATACAGTAATTCATATTCGGACCTAAACTCAAACACTCTACTACCCCACAGGAAGAAATACACAGTCATATCAAAATCTCCTTCCATTTTTTTGTTTAATTTTTCATTCTTCACACAATCTGAAATCATCAGCATCTCTTCACATTGTGTGAACACTTCATAATGAATGAACCAACAGAAATGGTCTGAAATTATTTCCAATAAAATCTTGCTACATTAACACTAGTATTGTCAAAGTTAACATGTTAAAACCGCATCACTAATGATGTTTCACAGCGTTAATGCATTTTCCTAGTTTAATCTGTCAAGCCACTCGTAGTAGTGCAGGCTGAAGCCCAACTGCAGTGTGCTTTATGTTGCTATTTAGGGAAGGATATCAGTAGGATTTTATCGTTACTGATTACTTATCGATATTCTCACTGATACTACTATCCATAATTTGGTGAACTAAAATATAGACATGACATGAAAAGATGCGAAGTTGAAAAAAAACAAAAAAAAACAAAACAAAACATAAGCAATTAGCTGTTACAGATTTCTGCTATGCTTGCTATCGAATCTGAAGTCAGTACAGACTCAGCTTAATATTACTACTTTACCCGATAAGCTGATTTAGGCTTTCAAAATATTCTAATTACTTTTTTTATGCTGAAAACATTACCTGTTATGGGCATTTAGACTAAACTACCTGTAGTTTTAGCATAAGGTTGAAGTTGGCTTCTATTCGCCAGCGTCTTGTTCGAATTTTCCTGTTTCACCTTAAATGGTGCAGCAGTTATAATAATGCGTCCAACCAGCAGATTCAATCTGGTGCCATTTGACAGGACAGCCATTTGAAAATGCCAGCTATGTAGAAGAATTAACGCTACATAAATACTGACAGCAGCCCTGTTTGTCCAGGAGCTTATCGATATTTTGGGACTGACCAGCCAGGAACTGATACCAATTTAATACTGGTTCTCGATATCCACTCCTACTTATGTCTCGACTATCTCTCCCTCGTTCCAATCAGCAAGTCAGCAAAGTTCCACTGACGTCCCTCAATAAATGAATTCCTAACTATTGCCATGCTGAATTTATTTTACGCCAAAGTACAATGAGTCCTGAAGTATCATTTACAAGCACAAAACAATGCACTGATGACGGCATTCTCAGTAACATCAGCACTAGAGCGCCTTCAGCAGACTATACTAGTCAGTGCTTGAGGCAGAACTACAGATAAATAAACGAGTAGCAAACTAACAAAAGCAACAGCTTGGTGGAGCTCCAGTTCCCCTTGAGTGCCTCCACTGTCACAAGAATCAATGAATGGAAACAGTGTTCACCCTGTAGAAATGACATGATTTTCATGTTCTGCAATCATGTGATGAAAATAATGCTGTTGAATTACTGAAAACAATAAATACGTTCTGATGAAGCTTATTTTGTCCAATCATATAGCTACAACAAAATGCGCTGCTTTATAAATGTAAAGAAAATCTTTCTTTAGGGTAAAAGGTGAGCAAACAAGACAATTAATTGCAAATAACTGCACAAAATAACGTGATTAATCGTGATTCTTTTTGCTTGACAACCCTATTCAACATACATTAAAGTAAATTTTTTTCTACTTTTAGGTGATAATTTCAGAGATGCTATGACAGCGACAATTTATAGATATACAGTTATACAATTTTTATTTATTACCTGAGTTTAACAAAAAGCAGTTTTTTGTTTTTTTTTTCCATAGTTTAGGAAAAAAACAAAAAAAAAAAACACAAAATGTGGTCTGTGCAAGGCTGTGTGTTAAATGTTTCCCCCAATATGTTATATTCAGCAAATAAATAGTAATTGTGTGTTAAAATGTGTAGAAGTGTGTTCTCTAAAACGTCCTTACCAGCTGGTTGTCCAAACCCAAACCCAGATGACGTGGTAGTGGTGGTGTTGCTACCAAATAACGACCCCTGTCCGAATCCGGTGCTCTGCTGCCCGAATGCTGGAGCGCTGCTCTGCCCGAAGAGGTTCGTCCCAGTGCTGGCTCCCGAGCTGGTGCTGCCTGCTCCAAAAGAAAAGGAGCTGGCACTGCTGGTGCTGGAAGATCCAAACAGTCCTCCTCCTCCTGCACTGGAGGCAGGTGTGTTAGCTGCTGCATTTGCCGTCTGTCCAAACCCTGAGCCAGTCCCGAAAGACGACTGGCCGAAAGTGAAGCCAGATGCCGAGCCGGCAGCCGCCGCAGGCTGTCCGAAACTGGCAGTGGCGATCTGCCCGAAAGCGGGCTTTCCGAAACCAGAGGTTGTAGAGGCTGCTCCGAAGGTAGAGGAACCGAATGTTGGGGCAGAAGTAGTGGTGGTAGGTTGACCAAAAATTGAAGCAGGGGCTTGAGCAGTGGTGCTGGGTGCTAACGGAGTAGCTGTGGTAGAAGATGGTACAGCTAGTGCGGCTGTGCTAATCACTGGGGTGAAGCAAGTGACGGACAGAGTTGTACCAGTGGTAGTAACAACTGGCGGGGCGAAGATGGAGCCTGGTGTTGTTGAAGGTGGAGCTGTGGTTGTCACTGCTGTTGGGGCTGTAGGAGCTGGTTCAAGACTAACACTAGCTGTTGGTGTAGGTGTAGGTGTAGGTTTAGCATCCGGTACAGAAGTTTCCACTACAGCTGTTGGTTCTGCAGGTGGCGCAGCAGAAGGTGGAGGTATTGGTGTTACACTGAGCGTACACGTAACTTGGGTTGACAATTTGTCGCCGGTTGATGCTGGAATCTCTGGTTGAGCAGGTGCAGGTACGGGTACTTTACTGACAGACACAAGGGATGGTGTGGATTGAGCTGGAGGTTCAAGGCTTGGTTCTGAGGGACGTTCTACAGGTGTTACAGCTGGGGCTGTAGCTGGTTCTGGTGGAGGTGATGACGCTTGAGGTTTTTCAGCTGAGGTAAGTGGAGCAGCTAGGAGGCTGCTGAAGGATGTAACAGCAGAAGGTGCTGCACATTCAGGTGGTTTAAAAACGCTAATTGTGGCAGGAACTCCAAGCGGTGCTGAATTTTTAGAGACATCTGCTGACGTACCATCTGAATCTGACCCGTTACTAGAAGCTGTAGGTTTTGGCAAGGAGCTAAATGTGAATGGGGCAGATCCGTTGCCAGGCACTCCAAAAGCGAAACCTGGAGTACTTTTTGGAGGTTCCTTAACCTCATCAACCAGTCCAACTCTCAGGTCAGAAAATGGGCCCAGGGTTTCTAAGGGGCTGCGCTGAGCTTTAGGGAGCTGGAAGGAAGGTGCCGTGGGGGTCAGTTTGACCGGTTCACTCACATTAGGAGGCTGAACAGAAGTGGGTGGTTTTGGGGTGAGGGGGAAAGGCGTCTCTGAGGGACCAAATGTCATTTTCACTGCGTTGCTGCTGAAGGAGAACTTGTTTGCATCTTTACCTATAAAATGATGGAGACAGAGAGAAATGGCACCACATTATAATACTGACACATTCCAGCCTTCAAATAATGATACTTAACCCTTTAAAGGATTATAACTCAGAGAATGGTCTTAAGACTCATTATCCAGTGACTTGTTAACAATATTCAGAAACTTCTATAAAGTATTCAGTATCTACAATGAATTACAGTGCTGTGAAAAAGTATTGCTTTTATTTTATTTTTGCATATTTCTCGCACTTGTTTTAGATCATCAAACTACTTAATATTAATATATTAGACAAAGATAACCCAAGTAAACACAAAATACTGGTTTTAAATGATGTTTTCGTTTGTAGAAGCAAAAATGCTATTCAGCCCTACCTGGCCCTGTGTGAAAAAGTAATTGCCCCCTCAGCTAATCAACCAGTTAACCAAACTCAACTGGCCACTGGGTTCAATTTCACTAACCACACCCAGGCATGACGTTTAGTGCCAGCCCCGCTGAATCTAAACATCACTTAAATAGAACTGTCTGGCAATGTGAAGGAGGAGACTCCAGCAAACTGCAGTGAGAGCCATTATCAACAAATGGAGAAAACTTTGAACAGTGGTAAAACTTCCCCGCAGTGGCTGGCGTAAAAAATTTCACAGAGAGCACATCGACGACTCATCCAGGAAGTCACAAAAGAACTCGGACAAATGTCTAAAGAACTGCAGGCCTCACTTGCCTCAGTTAAGGTCACACGTTTTCACACTTGGACCGTTTCAGGGTCTGAAGTGTGCATATGTGAACATGCCAAACAACTCACTCCTCTAAACGACCCCAAAAAATGAATTGTTGCAATTCATTTTGAGGTCCCTCTGATTTGAGCACTGTAAAAATAAAACGGCTCCAGTCCGCTTTTGCTTCATGGTAAAGACCTTCTGTACGCACAGCCACAGTCTTACAGCAGGTGTAAAAGGGGTCTGAGTTCTAATAAGTGGTCATAGAGCTCATCCATGCTAAAAAGGACCAGAGAGAAAACCTCCTCTTTACCTTTAACTTACATTGTGAACACAAAAAGCACCGAGGTCATTTGTAGTCGATTCTTTTTCAGGTTCACTTTAACAGAAATCATTTCAGTTAATTTAAAAAGAACTCATAAATGAAAACTAACTAAGAAAGACATTTGGCAAAAATGGCATCCACGGGAGAGTTGCAAGGTGCAAACCACTGCTGACCAAAAAGAACATAAAGGCACGTCTCGCATTTGCCAAAAAAACATCTAGATGACCCCCAAGACTTTTGGGATAATATTCCGTGGACTGACGAGTCAAAGATAGAACTTTTTGGAAGACATGGGTCCCTTTACATCTGGTATAAAGCTAACACTGCATTCCACCATTAGAACATCATACCAACAGTAAAACATAGTGGTGGTAGTGTGATGGACTGGGGCTGCTTTGCATCTTCAGGACCTGGACGAATTAAATTAAATGATGAACCATGAATTCTGCTCTCTATCAGAAAATCTTAAAGGAGAATGTCCAGCCATCAGTTCATGACCTAAAGCTTAAATGCAGTTGGGTTACGTAGCAGGACAGTAATCCAAAACACACTAGCAAGTCCACCTCTGAATGGCTCAAAAGAAACAAAATTAAGGTTTTGTAGTGGCCGAGTCAAAGTCCTGACCTGCATCCTATTATAATGCTGTGGCAAAACCTTAAACAGGCAGTTCATGCTCAAAAACCCTCCAATGTAGCAGAGTTAAAATAATTCCACAAAGCAGAGTTTACTAAAATTCCTCCACAGCGATGTAAAAGACTCATCGCAACTTATCGCAGACTTTTAACTGCGGTTGTTACAGCCATGGGTGGCACAACCAGTTATTAGGTTATGGGGCGGCAATTATTTTTTTCACGAGTGATATAATCAGTTCTGACTTGTAGCTGACATTTGAGTTTGAAAGTAGAAGAGGAGATATTTTTATCACAGTTTGAATTTGATGGAAAATTACTGCTGTGCTTTGCAGAAAGAAAAACATGCTTTACATTTTTGACATTTTTTTTTTGACACTGAAACAAATAAAGTGTGAAGTGCAGAACCTGTCGACACAGAATGTAAACTGAATGCGAATGCATGCATGTAAATTAGGCAGTCAATCAGCAGCACAGATTACGGATGCTAAGGCTGAATACTTATGTACTAAAATTCAGTTTGAATTTTTCAGTACTCTGTAGTGTTGAAGTAATTCAGCTAAAGCATTAAAGCACTGAATTCTGATAGTCAGCGCTGTTCAGTGCTGCTGTTGGACTGATTTCTGTTTGAATGGTCATATTTTGAACAACAGAATTGAAAAACTTACCAAACACAAAAGTTTGTGGGGAAGGCACGCCCTCTGTGACAGGTGGAGGGACCTTTACTGCAGCCTGAGAGGAATTCTGGGGGTGAAAGTAGTAATATTAATTAAAAAATTATAAGAATAAAAATAACAATAACAACATAAATAGATTAATACATAACTAAATGTACAATTTGGTTATACACTGATATAAGAGCTAATTGGGGTCATAATAATAATTATAATAACAGACAGACAGACAGAAGGGTAGACAGATGGACAGATATACAGTCATATGCAAAAGAAAAAAAAATCCCTCTCTTTATTAACAATTATTTGTACCATATAAACAGGCTATTTAAAGCTGACAGTGCTGAAGCTACAAAAACCCACAAACAGAAAACAAACAAAGCAAATATATAAACCTTTTTTGGTGTAAGAAAGGGGTGTAACAATGCATCGTGACAGTGTGATATCACAACGCAAAAAATGTGATTGTGTGCATTGTTAAGAACGGACACTCTTATTATAGTTATTATTTAGTTCTTTTTAGTGAATTTAGTTTTACAAGCTTACGCAACTCCACTCAGCACCTCAGTAAACTGTAGAATTTTGCTTCATTCAAATGTTCCTCAAAACACTCTGAGAATACTAACCGAGAACAGAGTTTCGAGAATCGAATCCAACTGTGGGCTGAATGTACCGTTACAGGCCTGACAGAAAACCACCCACTGGATGTTTTGGATACAAATTTCTCAGGGGCAGGGGTGCTGGAGGACCCAGCCCTCTCTCTTTATTAAGCCTTGTGCGGTGGGCGAAGTTGTCAGATGTTTGACTCTGCTGCTGGAATTTCAGATGGCTCTGGGGTATTTCGCATTACTGTACCGGTGTCTCCTTACCCTCCCCATATGACAGATGACGCCTCTGCAGCTTTCTGTTCCGCAGACGCAGCTTTTAAAATGAGTGCTACTCAACTATGCATGAGGATAAACATGCATGTGGCCATTTGGTCTCTGACCCAACCTATATGTGGCTGATACCTAGAGCAGTTTTGAGGGGCTAAACATTCTGATAACCAATGATTTTATTTGGAACTACACAAATTTTAGTTTTTTTTAATTACACTCTCCAAAAGGTGCAAAACTGTCACTGAGGTGGCCCCCTCAGGGGTACATCTCAGTACCTTTAGTCAGGGAACATAACTGTACCATAATCCATTGAAATTATATTTTCTAAGCTGTACTGACTCCACACACCCCGTCTCGTCTCCAGGCTTTTTATTTTATTGTTCTGTTTTAAAACATTCGGTTACGAAAATCTACAAATACGAACTTTTCACCTGGAAAAACGTATTTAAGGTTCAAAACTGGGCCTTAAAACCACTGTTGTACCTTTGAGGGAACATTTACATTGTTTATACCTTGATGAACAAAAAAATGTACCTGCACAGAACCTTTATTTCTAACAGTCCATCATGATTGCATGACTACAGTTAACAAACACACCATTTAATGCTATGATGACAGAACAGATCAAATGACCTCGCGCACAGTGATATAGTTAGATTGGTGGGGACGCAGTGTTAAGACACTACACAGTGAACGGGATGTGAATAAACAATAACAAAATACAAAATACTCTTAATTTTTCACATCAAAACTATACACAGCAGACGTGAAGCGATATTTTTTTTGGATTCAGTTATTTGTGGAGCGAAAAAAGGGCAGAATATCTACGATAAAGTATTTTGCTTCACAAGAAAGAGGTAAAATGTGACATTATGCAGGACGCTTTCCTCTCTGTAAAAGCAAAAAAGAGTCTGGAAAGTTTCGTCTCCTCATTTAGGAGCTGAAACTGTACGAGGTCTTTCACTCACAGCTCGGATCTGCGTAACTCAGTTTGAGCTGGTGTTGGAGACGCAGCTCCAAATGAGGAAAACAAACTACACAATGAATTGTATTTTTATCATCATCATATGCGCTCCTGCAATAAACACTTTATTACAGGCTGTGATGACAGAATGATTCAAATGACCTTATGCACAGTGACATAGTTAGAGTGGTGGGGATGCTCCAGAGTGAACAAGGCCCTGAGAAAAGACAAGAAGATGCAAAATATAGACGTATTTTTTTGCATGAAAACTACACACGCAGACACAAAGTGATTTTTTTTGGAATTTCGTCAAGTTATTTGTGGAGCGAAAAAAGGGCCAGAATATCTACAAGAAGGTCTTTTGCTTCTCACAAAATAGACAAGCTGCTTTTGGAGATGCCGCTCCAAACAAGGCAAAACAAACAGGCTGAATGTCTTTGAATGCAAATGTGTTGGTTGATTAAACAGTGACATTGGGCAACTTTTCCATTTTGAAAAAGTGAAAGCATGAAGAGCTTCACTGCTTCATTCGAAAGCTGAAACCTTGAGTGCTGAGCCCCATTTTATCTACTTTTGGCGATTCTGGTGTTTTTGATCTTTTAGAAAACGTTCTAGTGGCTGTGGCAAAGCCACTTCATCATCATGGTTGTAGTCATGCCAACAAATAAATCGAACAGTGAGAATAAAATAACGTTGCATTTTCGCATTCCGAAAATAATGTCTGGTGTGCAACACATCATCAGTTACACATGCTTGAATCAACATACTGTCGCACACATAAACTGCACAAATAAAACGCACTTGGAGTGTAATGGTCTCTAGAAGCCCAACAAGTGCTTTCCTGCGCTGGGCTTGAACCCACATGGAGAACAACTAACTTAACCATGTGGTTAAATAGCCCACTGCAAACGAAGCAAAGCACGGCTCAAAAACGTCACTATCCTGAACTACTCGCCTGTAAAACTGTTCAAAACAAGACTATTCTCACTCTCAGTGTTGTGCGTAAAATGCAGAGGCTGTACGGTAAACTCTCTGAATCAGTAATGGCTACTGTCAAAACAAACCTGCATCAAGGAGCTTTTTAAGGGCTTCAATATATTTTAAAATTTTTGTATGCCTACATTAAAAATAAAAAATATTCTCCACAAGGGGGCGCCATTAGTAGCCAAATTGTTTTTGATGCTTCATAAGAGTAGAGCAGCCTTAATTTTATTTATAATGTATCGCGTTACTTACAATGTTATGTTTAATGTTAATTAGTTATTTAACCGTGGTGAAGTTTTTTCTGAGATTCATCAGATTTGCCGGTCACAGTTAAACAGGGGATGCCTCATATCGAGTCCCCCAGTGGCAAAACTATCCAAGGTTTCGCTCCATCTCGGAAAGACCGCAATCTTCAATCCAAAAAAGTCAGTAATTATAAGGAATTTCACTGATACTAATAAAAACTATCAAATGATATTATCGACCAACCAACACAGTGGTTGGTCTCTTTTCTAAATGCTGTAAACGAGCAACAAGAGTTTCCAATAAAATATCAACGTCAGTCTTGTTTGCAGAGAAACAGCGGCTAAGTTTGCATGCAAAGATTTTTGCTGATCTGATTGAATACATTCTGATTATGTATTAAGACTGACGTGTTTATATGCTCACTCTACTCAACAACTTAGGGTACACATCACCATGGCGACAAGCAACACGTGAGTCCGGTCAGAGTGAGATGAGCAGCAGTGAGCAGTGCTTTTGTTTTTAATTACTTTAAAATGTGTCAGACTCAGGAAAACGCCCTTCACATGTCCTTATTAAAGAAGGCCGAGAGGAAGACGTCGTGTTCTGAGAGACATAAGCTGGACGTCCGCCCCACCGCCGTCTTTTAAAGATCAGAACATAAACTTCGTCTCCTCTGCAGACCAGTTTCTGCTCCCACCATGTTGAACATTATAAACTTTTTCTATGATGTGACGCACACAGGCAGAACGTACTTACACGTTCCGATTGGGAATGTAATCAGATTCAGGCGTTTTCATGGTTATTATTCTTCTATTAAACAGATTATTTACAGGATTACCCACCTCGTTCAATTGGATAGAAATTGTATTCCGAATGGCCTCAATCGGACTAGACTATTCCGACTGAGGTGTATACATGGATGTATTCTATTCTCATTGAGCTATTAGTGGGATTATTAACGGATTATTAGGTTGTATTTAAACATGGCCAGTGTTACTCTACAAAACAAGGAGAGATCCCTTTGCAAAAGCATCTCTAATGGTAACCCATAAGACTGCTTCACAAAACAGATCAATTCTACACTTCATTTTGTTTTTAAATTTACTGCTATGTGTGACAAAAAACACTGCAACATGAAGAGATTATTTGAAGCTTGATGTAAAGGTTCAGTTAGAATTGCTGAAAACAGTATTTATCAGAATTAGCTGTTTGTCATTATTGGCTAACAGCAATACTCACTTTTTTGGCCTCTACGGTGGCCAGAACCTGCTGGACGACCTGAGCTGCTGGAGCAGGAACAGACGAGCTGCGGGAGAGACAGACAATACAGTTCAGTGTACTTTACAGAGTAAGTTAATGTCTGAATGTGAGATTCTGTAGGACATTAAAAGGGAATAAACGAGCTCAAAGCATGATATCATTTGATATTAAGTGATGCATGCAATCAAAGTCATTACATTTTGATGGAAGAGCACAGGAAAACAAGAATGTCTGTCTTTTAAATCAAATGACAATGAATTGTGGGGGACATGAGCTACCAATGTTAAAAAAAAAGCACATTTTGATTTCTGGTTGAATGAATAATTATAGCCACACCTCACTTCTTTTTTTTTTATTTTTGCTGGACTGGTCAGCCAAGAATAGTCACTGTCCCTAACTGACTCACTGACTCTCCACAGTTGGAACAGTGTAGGCGATGGCATTTTGTTTGCTGTGGCTACAACAACGTTAAAGGACAAAGTAGACTAATATTTCAGTAATGCAACACCGAACGCAGTGATTAACCACTCTTTTCACAACGGTCATAATATATGACTTCCTCCTGTTCTAAAGATCCCTCAGCTGAGCACCACATTTTTTCTTCAGTAACACTGATGGAAAATAGTTTCAGTATGTTCATAAGGCCACGTCTGAACACTTATGGAGATGGAAAAAAATTACGTTCACCAGGAAAGGCACGAACGATACTAACAGATGTAGGTGGAGCTCAACTTGAGTGTAGCTGAGGGAGGCCACACTGTGTTTCCACTAGGGCTGGGACCCCTCTTCAAAAACTACTGCCATACAATTAATACAAAAAGGCCTTTTTTGTAGGAATGCTCTGAACACTGACTAGAAACTCCAGCCCGGCTTTTCTTCTTTTGCAAGTGCAGCAATTAAGTACCTTGTGAGCGCCCACAGAGTAACAGCCATTCTACTAAAAAAGTTAAACAAGCAGGTAGTTAAGAGACACGTTGTGAATAAGCTGTAACTCTTTGTCGCTCCCTCTGGCGCAAACAGAAACTGTGCATTAGATATACTGAAAATGCACCTGGAAAATACCTGTGGTTAAAAATAATGAAAATGTCTACATTTGTCAATAATTCTGTCCCAAGTCATGTATTGGAAACATCTGGATGCTGTCCATAAAGCAGCTGAACTACAATTACTTTTTTTTTTTTAAAAATAGCTGTTTGAATTCACGCATAAAAACAAACTGCCCTTTTATGACTGACAGTAAGCCTGAAGCGTGTAATTTCTGTATGAGGCACAGTATTAACTGTCACACCGGAAGAAAAAGGGAAAAAAAAATGACGTGTTCTGAGGCAGCTCCACTCTCGCTTCAGATCTGGATGTTTAATGTAACATCGAGTATATAAAAAAAAAATATTTCTGTAAATGGAAAACACTCATAAAAGAAACCGCAGCCTTATTACAACAGAGAGATTTTCAATACAAACATAATCTTAATAGCACCTCCCACGGGCGTTACTGTTTGCATTCTGCAGTCAGAAACTGTATAAATAGGGCAATAATGCACGCGCATACACACACACACACACACACACAAAAACAAAACAAAACAAAACAAAAAAAAGCAAAGCTCCAAAACAGGGCCATGGTCCTTCGCGCTTTTGTGCATATTGTGAGTAAAGCTAATTTGGAAACTGGCCTGGGGGGTGTTCCATCCAAATATTCACCACAACAGGGCCAGTCAGGAGCACAAAGCGTAATGAAGAGGGGAAGAAAACGGAGAGAGACGATAATGTAGTGTTGCATCACAGTACAAATGTTATTTTAATGGTAATATATTGTAAATAACACTGGATTATATCTCCTCGCACCCTGCACATAAGCACATCAACACATAATTATCTCTTTTTGGCTCATTTTACATCTGTTTTCTCTCTTTTCTTTGCTTTTATTCGATATTTTCCTTTGTGAACAGACTGTATACGTTTGTAGACACCAGGGTTTTTACAAACATATATGGTGAGGTGAGGTACTGATGTTGGATGATTCCCAAAGGTATTGGATAGAGCTCCATACTTCTGAGGATATAAGATAATCCACTTGCTTAAGGAAGCAGAAAGTATAAGGAAAATGTGAGTTTCCAAAACTGGAGTTCAAAAAAGGATTAAAAGCTACAGAGAAAATGGGGCTTCTAACAACCACCTGGAAGACCTATTAGACACCAAAACTGTCCCCATCAGATAAACAGCACTTAAAGCTTTCATCTTTGAGAGAGAGGAGAAAATCAAGCTGCTTCAGATCTGAAAACATCCACAGGTGTTTCTGTCCATCCTTCCACTGTGAGAAGACAACTCAGTGCTGTGGGTCTGAAAGGATGTGTAGCTGTCAAGAAGAACCTCACTGAGAAAAGGAGACGGACACATCAAACAAAGAAGCTGAACAATGGACTGACCACCCTAGAGTCCAGACCTCAACATCACTGAATGTGTTTGATTACTTCAGAAAACAATCAACCAACTTCTAAGACTGAACTTTGGAGGTGTGTCTGCAGATTTCTTTGAGAAACTGAAAGTGAGTCTCCTGAAAAGAATGGAAGCTGGAATAAGGTGGTGTCTGACTTTGGCACAGAACTGTAAAGAAGCAAACTTCAGACACCAAATATCTCTTAGCTGATAAACCACATTTGGGCACTTTCTCTTTAACATTCCTCATCAGGCTGTCCGTATGCTCTGCAATGCACGGCTTACTGAGGCTAAATCTGTATGGGTAACACATCACTCCACTGATCGATACAGACGGGTAGAGGACATTAGCGGACAGTAGAGACTCAGACTGCACACATATAACATAAAACTACTTCTAGTTTTATCATATAAAGCCTTAGCATTTCTCCTCTTGCTTTCCCAAACCTCATGCAGCCACCCACCTGCATACACGCACACAAAAAACAGCAAATGCCCCCAATTTTTCGCTCTTGACCTCAGAATAACTAGCATGCGGCTGGCTCATATCCAAAACAGCAAGGACACCACTGAATAGAACACTGGAGAAGTGACAGAAAGAAAAAAGAAAAAATGAAAAGAAAAAAATGATAAAATAAAATTAAATTAAATAAATGAATAAAACCACAAGCTGCAACAGTCACTTCTCAACTTATTGATCATATGAAGGAACAAGTCAGGATTCCAGTTAAACAGGATTTTCCATCAAGAAACATGCAGTTGATCAGTGTCTTTAAGTACTCATGATATCCGTGACACGCCCAGAAATGCATATCGTTTAACACAATAGTAAAACCACGACAACAATAAAATATCATAATGGCCACTTCCATCTGTAATTGGTACATTTTCCGACACTGTTTGGACAACTAGGAGCACTTTATCATCTCCAGGGTTCAAGATCAAACTGACTTCTTTATGTTTTAGGAACAAACGTTTCAGTGAACAACATACTTGATATTGTCTTCACTAGCTTTCATACTCAAACACCCCCTCGCTGTGGGAAAATGGCCTAATCCACCTGTACTTGAAGATACATTTAGCCAATCACACCGCGCGTTGGTACTCACTGCCGCACAACCTACCAGGAATCATACTAATTTATTTCTTTAAAGCTACACTAAGCATGTTTTGAGGATTTAGAGACCTCTCTGGTGAAAATGTGTAACTGCATGCAGTGTGTGGAAGAATATTTTTTAACATGGGCTGTGCTTCAGACCCCTTAGCCACGCAGATGAATCTCATGATTGAAAAAGAATTCAAAGAGAACTCAGTCAGAACTTGGCGAAATACGCATCTTCCCAGTATGAGAGTGAATTAACTACCATTGTCTTCAAATATTCACCAGTACAAATGTTGATTTTGAGATCTTTTGAGGCCTAAACATCAAGCGGGACCTTTTTAAAGTCTGTGCATGTGACGTTAATACATAAAGATGTACAACATGATGTGAAAAACTCCCGACCCGACCCCTCTGACTTTTAAACGATTATTTCAGGCTTTAAAGGGCGATTCGCAGCAGCTCACCATGTTTTAGCCTGTTTTAGTCTCCTCACTCAGTTATAATACTTCTTTCAATTTTGACACAAAAACTGTGCGAGTTTGGGGAAAAAGTTAATGCTGACCTCTTCATGAGCTCTAAATTGGGAAATACAAATCATTTCAGTTTTAAAATGATTATGACAAGGTATTTATAATGACACAGGCATATTCGAAGCTGCTGTAGAACATTCAGTATTCATATGTACATGACTGCACACATCAATTACACATATATGCCAAGTTTTGTTGGTAAGCTGTAAGCGGCTCAAGGACAACGGTTAAGATGATGGTTAAATAGATGCTCTTAATTCTGCTTTTATGCACCACTCACTGCTGTACAAACAGAGCCAGCAAACTGTTCAAGGCTGCCAGATTGGACAAGATCTCCAGTTTAGCACTTTAACGCAACTTGAAATTAATTACCACAGATGTTTTTTCATTACCTTAGAAATTTAATTAAGTTTAATTAGGAAGCAAAATAAACATCATTTATGGAATAGAGATTAATAGTAATAATAAAGCAGTAAGCCATGAGAGGCCATGGATTACTGCGATTTCATCACGGAAAGGGTGTTCTACTTCCTTCCCTGTGATAAAATCGTCGTAACCCACGCTCTCAAGTGGCTTATTGCTTTTATAAAATGGCAGCCAAACATAAAAAAAAATGATAAAATACACCTTTTGTTTTCAGAAAATAATCTATTATTAATAATAATCGACATAAGTATTCTGCCAAGAAGTGTAGTTCCTTTGGAGTACAATATTGTTTCCAAGCAACCATGGACTGCTGACTGAGGAGAACGTTTGTCACCCATCGCTGTATATGGTGGTCATTTCAACTTTTAAAAACATTTTGTTGTGTAACAATAAACATATGACAACACAGCACTGTTTAATGCAAAAGTTCCACTTTGTAAGTACTTTTTGGTCACCAAATTACCACTGCGAGCCTTATTTAGCATTAATCCACACACACACACCCTCTAAACCGCTTATCCTTCTGGGTCGTCATAGGGTGCTGGAGCCTATC